ACTCAAGAAATCTCAGATATAACCGCAATGCGAAACGAAGCAGGAAACCATTTAATAACGAAATCAAGTTATTTAATATTATTAAGTCATAAAATTGTTTAAATAATTGAAATCGAAATTGATTTAAAACAACTGAGCAGCAGACGAAATGGCAGTAACCAGTGACGCGAAGAGACGGATAATGGTGAGGACTAACGCTAACCTGAGTTTCTTCCCCAATTATCTGTATTAATTTAGTGCAATTACTTAAATGCAATTCCAGAGTTTTGTTTTTTAAGAAACTTCTTGGAATTCATGCGAATTTGTTGTTTTGTTATTCTGAGCATAATATTTAATTCAATCTAAACTTTAAGACATATTATTATTTGAAATATATTGAGTTTTGAATTGAACAATATAATTGGTAATAAATCAATTTTGTAAATAATTTGACCAGGTCAAAATTTTTACTAAATTAATTAAGCCAGATATTAAAAATAATAAATCAAATTAACCAAAAGCTGAAATAAATAAATAAATAAATTAAATAAAAATAAATAAATTAAATAAAAATAAATAAAATAAATAAAAAGATATTGTGGACATTACTCCTTACAGTTCATATCATGTTCACATTGGAGAATATAGTCCGCTTAAGCGTATGCAATTGATGGAATCGTGTGTGTTTGGTAGTTGAACGAAACTTGATATTATATATCAAATACGATCTGAGTGTGGAAAGATGGTCTCATTGAAAAGTGAGATATGATGTACGCTACATCAACGTAGACGTAGAGACGTAGAGACACAGTACTCATACTTTACATACATCTTTGACGTCTTCATTGTTAGGTTTGGCAGATATTAATTAAAGTTTTGTAGTTTTTTAAAAGGAATAAAAACAAATGATTTTGATTGCTTTTTATCGAGGAGGAAACACAATATATCAAATGACTACGAAAGATGATGAATTGCCTTCTTGACCCTGATAGACTACCACAAAATAACCCATTCATTTATTTTGTATATTAAAATTTTATGTAAGAAAAATTAACAATTAAAAAGCCAACTATGTAAATTTATCAAGACAGAGTTGAGACTGACTGCATCGTACTTTCTCTACCTTTTGTTTCCTCATTCGAAAACAATAACAGAGCTATCAACAAAATAAAATAAAATGATTTGCATAATGCGATTGATTCATGACATAAACTTAATGACAAATTACGAATTGACACATTTTGCTAAATTAAAAAACAACTAAAAAAGAAATGTGGATTTGGAGTTTTGAAACTTTTCACCAACTAAGAGATTTAGAAACAAAAAGCTTGAATATTTGGCTCCAGAGTTTTAAGAATGTTTGAATTCGTTGGACTAAGTTCCAATGAATCAGAGCAGCTGTTTTGAATAATATCGAAAAGGGTTCAGATCGTTTTAAGTAGTAGGCACGCTAGACTCATTGCCTACATTCGCATCACGCTGTTTTAGACAAACAGGCATCAATCGCCATAGAAACGGCCTTAAATCCGAAACAACAGATGCGTGAACTTTGAATGAAGAGGAAGGAGATTTAGTCACTATGTCACGCAGCGAGTGAGCAAATTGTTGATAAAAGTATAATATTTCAAATAGTTGAAAATTTTAAAGTTGTTTTATGAAATTGTTTTATATTTTCTCCTTAATTTGAAACACGCACCGAAATGTGACCGACAGACAGGGGCACTACTTTACACATTTCTGTACTGTTGTCATCGAAAATGTCGTGTGCGCGTTGGCGTGGCGAACCGGCCGGTAATTGCCTATATAAACAATTCGCTTCCACAAGAGACTATACTTAGGTTTATTGTTGTGATTTTAAGTTTTATGCCAACGAATTACGGAGCTCAATGACGGGCGATTGCATTTGCAGAGTCACGGTCACCACACCATCATCAGCAAAGCAGAAACAGAATTAATTATTTCATTGCGAACACATCCGCCGAATTGGATTTCCGATAATAATGAATGTCGAATTTTGTTGATGGATATACGACACGCACGTTGAAGAGTCTACAATTCAAGTATTTTCTTATTATTCAAGGATGGTCCGCACTGCGTATACCAATAATGTGTATTGTGCAGATCGAAGCAAGCAACCAATGACGCATTATCCGTAAACGGTTGATGCATGCAGGATGATGTCCCGCATTCCCCGGTTTGAGAAAGCCAAATGTTTACTTAGTTGTGCGTGCGATGTCGTACATGGGCATTCGGTAAGCGCGACCAAACCCTACACAACAAAGCTGATATAGATGCATGTAATGAATTAAGCCCCAGTCACGTTCGCAATTAAATTTACTTTAATAGTTTTTTAATATTTGATAGACAAATAACTCGTAAGTTAATCATTGCGACAAAATTTAATTAGGCAAAATTTATGGTATTCCATTAATATATTAAATATTGATTAAATATTAAATCATATATTAAATATTGACTAAGTTACTAATTCATTTAAATCAAACTATTTGAAATCCAGATTTACTTTACTTACATCCATACTAACTATACCAAGGCAAAAAATATCGATTTCAAATCCTTGAATCTGGAATTTAGAGTGCATTTTTAGTCCATTCCTCTTGCGGTATTTAATCATAGTGTCGTATAATTTATATAAATATATCAATATCTATACCCACAAAAAGGTTTTCTCTATTACAAATCGTTTATAATAGAATTATATAATTGCGTTGTATGGCAACGATATACAAAGAAGGGTGAAGGCAAACAAACTTCGAAGCAAAAGAAACGAAGCATTTAAAGACTAGAGCAGTATTTACCTGTTGATCGTTTTGTTGTTTTGTTCTGACTGCACCTTTTGCAAACGTCAACAAAACCAGCTGCGTGGCTTACTCCAGTTGCACTCGAAAGTAAGGCTTTGAGCACCTATAAATCGTCGAAGAAAGCTGGAAATTTTCTGCAGGTTTTCGTTGCTGTATTCTAACGTTTTACTTTTTATTTTAATTGTTTAGCAAGCACATCGTCCATTGGTGTTTTTGTTGAAGATTACAATTGTGTGTTCTACTTCCACAACAGTTTTATATTGGACTTAGAATTTTTTAAAATAATTGTTAAAAATAAATATTATTATAACATATATCCATATTGTTACTTGTTTAAAATCAAACAGAAAACTATCTAAAATATGATTTTTCAAATATGTAATCACGTACACATTATCTTTCACACAAGTGTAAAGTAAATATTCATAAATTTCTGTACAAAAATCGTTTAATTTTTCTTCTCAAATTTAACATAAAATTCCTATCACAATATGTATTATATCCTTATTCAAAACAAACAAGACTTCGCGAGAGCGACACATCCACCGATCAAAAGAGCAGAAACTAAAATAACGCCAAACACAAAGAAAGTGGTGATCAAAGCAATACAGTGTAACACTCTTACCAACTAAACAGAGTTGCCAATGTGCTACGAACAATTTTATTGAAATTGTTTACATATGTTATCATTGTACGGATTGAGCTAACCACACATTATTGTAAGTGTTTGTCATAATATTATAATTGATCAATTTATTTAATTAAATTTTTAATTAGACATATAATATAATATAATAATTGGACACTTAAATTTTTTAATAGGAGTTGTACGTACACTAAAACACTGAATTAGTTATCAAGAACTTAGTGTACGTAGATTTCATTATCAATTTTGATGGGCTATATATAACGCAAAACTACATAAAAACAAATAGAATTTCAGTCCGGTCACCAAACACCTCGCACACAAATGAATGCAGAGTAATTGCTCTTTTTTTTTATTAGCTGATGTAAAAATTGTCTTACTTGCAAATTACAAATTAAAATTAAAATAATTAAGCCCTAAACAATAAACCTCTTCTTAATATGTTGAACTTTTTGAATTTATTAAATGTCGAATTACACATGTCTAGCACATGTCGAACTGATAATTCGAAAGATCAACGGTTGGTACAGTTGTCTTCTAATGAACTCATTTATGTAGTTTATGTAAAAATAGGTGAAACATTAGAAAGTTGTCACCGCCATGATAACAAAATTTTAAAAAGTGCAATTAATCTTAAAAATAATAGAAAAAGAAAAGAAAAAGCCTTTAGTAGAGAAACGTTTATTATCTACCAATAGACATTTCATAATAGGTCTGTTCCACGAGCTACTCATAGTAAAACTCAAGTAAAACACAAGTAAAGTGCAAACTGAGAGCGTAACACAAATAAAGTGTCAAATTTTGCTCTTTACACAAAATTTTCGTGGAATAGCTTTGTGTAAAGTCTGGTGAGAACACCATTGCCGCACAAACAGCTGATATATACATGAGCAAAAATTTTACTTGAAATAAAATGTACGACTAAAGTCTGTGTAGCTTTTTCAAATTTTGACAGGGTTGTTACGCTCTCACATGCTCTCATTTACTCCAAAATTTGCTGGTGGAACGCACTTAATAAAAACACAGTTTTACTCAAAGTTACTACGAGTAGCTCGTGGAACAGACCTAATATCCACTATAATTTTATGAATTGTATGGGTACTCATTTGGTAATGATATATGTAAAATTATAAGTTATGCAATAAATTTATTTTCTCATAAAACCTTATTAATTAGTGTATCTTGTAAATAATGTAATCCACATAAAGTGAATATAATATATATTAGGAATGTATGTATATAAATTTATATTGCATGTTTTAAGATTGTTAATTTATAATTGTAATAATTTGTAATATTACATGCACTGAACAAACCCCACAAAAAACTTGTACCCTTATTTTTTTAATTAATTTTGCTGTCAAATTATTTTAAATTTAAAACTGAAAAATCTATGAAGACGATTTTTATGAAAAATTATAGTATACTTTCTTTTTGAATGTGTTGGATTCATGTTTATTTAAAAATATCTGTCAGCTTTTATTGCTACACTTAGGAATAGTAAAAGCGCGTTGGGCAAAAAAACAACTCAAAAAAGAGAAGTTGATGTTTAGTTAAATTAATGCATTTATTTCAACTTTCTGATTGTAAATTACATTTTCAACTTATATTGGTAGAAATGAATAAAATATTCCTATGAATTACATACTTAATAATTTGTTACGATATCTGTGTTGAATATATTTCAATAACGTTTAGAAAAAACAACTTCTCGAATAGTCCATCGCACCGTAGCTATTATTAATCGCTGTCATAATCGTTTTTAGTACCAACTGTTAGAGGTCGTCTCGACTCATCTTCCGAGCCATAGACGACTTCTTCATCTGAATCGTTAATCATCGAAAAGGCTGGATTGTCTTTGGTCACGTGTATATCCGCTGAAACCATTTAAATGAATGTAATAATTTATTTACGTAAAGTATTGAACCTAACCTTGAGCAAAATGTTCATTTGGTGAATACACATAAGCCATCGTAAACAAGTAAAAATTAAGAAGGCCGTAGAAGCACATGAATTGTGCAGAGCTACGGTATGTAGTGTTAAGTGAAGCGACAAAATTATCCTCCAAAATGCCAAAACCAAATCGACATGTAGTGACGCTTAAAGAAATAGATAGTACGAACAGCATCAGTAGTGTAAGGAACTTTAACCTCATATCTGTAACAAATATATGATATTAATGTACTCTCTCATTTTCCACTCTACACAATGTTATTTACCAAAGAATGGCATCGATCTTAATTCCGTGTACGCTCTCAGCACCAGTAGTGCAAGGTACAAAATATACATACATCCCGCAACGTAGAAAAACATCTTAAAGCCCTGCAAACATATTATTTAAAAGTTCTATTGTATTTCATTTAAAGTGTGTACAGACATTGTAGTTCTTCGTATCGACAAA